ACCTCTTGCTCAAGTGGCTGTGAATTTGGATCACTGACAGAGCATTATGCCCCCAGGAGGCACGCCAGCTTTCAAGGCAAGCTCATAACCATGTAGATTTTCGAGCACTTAGAAAAGTCGAGCTTTAAGTGGAAAGCTGGTCTTAACCTCAAGTATAGAAGAGCTGTGGGGCTTCCCCTCCCTTCCCTCCCAGCCACAAAGGGGCCGTACTCCCTAATCAAAAGTCAGGCAAGGCCACTGTTGGGTTGGGTGGGGCCAGGTCTCTTTTCCCATGGGAGCTTGTGCCTCTGTGCTGACTCAACCCCACGCTCTCTTCTCAGAAGCTGTCATGCATAATTTCATGTCTCCCTGAGCATATCAGTGGCTTCTGGGGAGTGGGTAAGATGTGCTGTTTTCCTGTTCTCTTCCCCCTTCTGCTTCAAAGTTTCTGTGCAGCTGAGCTGGGGGGAAGGAGGGGAAAGTTCCTTGTGAATAAGCCGTCCCTGCATACTGATGCTGGCTCCATGACTGTGCTCCTCTCAGTATCAGCAGCAGCTAGGGTGAGAGATCATCCAGGGCCTTTCAGCTCCCAGGCGGAGCACTTGGTTAATGAATTAGAGTGAAGTTTGCTGCAATAAGTCATGAACATTAAAATACTAAGAATGCCACAGGTGAAAGAATCTATCCATGAAAGGGTGTGGAAGTGACAAGGTAAGGTAGCAAGCATGAGGCATGGAGTAGTCTTATAGTTTAAACATTCTCAAATGAGACTCCGGACATCAGAAATTCTCTTAACCCTGATCCCAAGGCCTGACTGCCACAAACACAACGCTTCAGTATGCAATCTGGAAAGAAAGCTTCAAAAGACTTAAAATAGCAACATGGGCATATGTTTAAGTGTGTAAAAGAGGGGGCCAGAGACATGAGAGACTAAAAAGGGTCATTTTAAAATTAATTATAACTTCAGTATCATTTCATGAAATGACTTGAAATGTGAGGGGGTCAGGGGGACACCCTCACCATCCTAATAGCAATCAGAAAAAGTGCTGGTGAAAATCTTTTTATTTTCCTAAACTAACGTGGGGTGAAGATTGGGCTTGTAATGGAACTGAAACAGTCACCATACCCAGGCTTTCTATGACTGTCGCTCAGCCTTGTGTCAGGATCTTCTTCCTGCCTTAGGAGGCTACTCCCAGCCCTCCTAGGTGGGCCAACTCCCGCAGTGTTCGGGTCTTCCCTACAGCAACCTTGCTTGAATTTCCTCAGTCTCTGCCATGGCTTACTTCCTGCTGCTTGTGGGTGGAATCGTCTAATTCAATCCAGTTGTGTCTCTTAAGTAATCAAGGTTGGCTAGCCTCAGGCTTCCCAGCCAAAGGGGGCGAGCCACCCTGTTACAGGAACCCTGGCTGCAGTGGTGCAAGTAGAAATCATTTCTTACCGGTACTGCACTCATGGGAGGGACACAGGGGTGAAGAGCATGTGACCTCCCCACGTGACCCTCTATGTGACTCCTCTCTGTCCCACCCCCAGCCCAGGGCCCCCATGCTCTCCCCATCCCCTCCGACACCCACCTTTGTATATACAAACATCAACATGCTTAACTACTCACTTTCCCCCACATATGTAGTATTCAGTCTCTTTATATGGAATATGGGAGTTGGGTGAGGAGCCATTTCAGCATATGTATGATTTATTAAAAGACAAATTTTAAGTAGAACTGTATCCTAAACTGCATTATGGTATTGTACCCAAACATTGCATTTCAATGAGAGATTCAACTTCCTTTATACGAACAGAACAGACTCCTGAAACGCTTACCACAAAAGTGATGCATACTCATGCAAATAGTCCCACTGTCTTCAGTGGGATTGATCAAATGATTAAGGGTTTACAGGATTAGGTTCCAAGTTTGTAAATCGTTCTGGATGAAATTGACAATGCCTGAGCTGTCAGTTCAGAAGGAGCTTCATTTGAAGAAAGGTGGATAGATGTGTGATAAGTCTTAGCTCCGTTGCTAAGATTAGGAACATATTTTCAGCAAAGTTCTTGGCAGATTCCTGAGGCAGCTGGTTGAAGACCATCAGTGTCCGGCATTATAATCTTCATTTATAGTTCTCTCACCCACAAAGCTGGGAAATGAGGCATTTGTTTTCTTTGTTTTGCTGCTCCAGTTCCAGTTAACAAAATGTCTGTTAGACTAGTTTGGCTGCAAAGAAGAATTATATGTACACTGGGGACAACATCTGATTCCCATCAGGCTGCAGAACTGGGCTGACATCAGAATCCAAACATCCTCTGGTCAGTGCAAAAAGAGGCATTCCTCTAATGATTTGGACTTGATGTGATGCAGTATGAATGTCATGGATAATTCAGACCAAGGGGAGAAACAGAATCAAAGACTCTATTTAAACACCTTCCATTCTCCCCCGCCACACACACACTCCTCCCCTCTTGAGGACTCCTGACCAATGTAACAGCACAATACACATGCTAACAAACGTAAACAAAGCCTTTGTTTAAGTTTTTTAGCATATGTATTGTGCTTTTAAAAGCCATATAAAGAATGAATGCCCTCCCTAGCCATGTTCTGCTCCTTTAAGGAGCAGAGCGCAGCCCTATCCCCTCCAGAGAGGGAGGGGCTAGTGCCAAGTCTTTCCGGTAACCCGAACCTGCTAAAAATTTCTTGCCGGTACTGTGTACTGGAGGGTACCACCCTACTTGCACTCCTGTGCTGAGACCTTAACTACAGAGGCAGCTGCCTCTCCATCACCTGTAGATGGGAGGGGATTGTGCATGAGAGGGGCTTGCCAGCTCGAGAAGTGGGCACTGAAGGGATGAGGCAGCTGCATGGGAAGCATTGGCAGCTCTCTTATGGTATGTCTACACTGCAATTAAAAACCCTTGGCTGGCCCGTGCCAGCTGACTCAGGCTCAGGCTAAGGGGCTGTTTAATTGTAGCTTAGCAGGAGCTCTGGGACTCTCCCACCTCACTGTGTCCTAGAGCCCAGGCACCTGCCCGAGCCTGAAAGTCTAAACCACAATTGAATAGCCTCAGCCCAAGTCAGCTGGTGCAGGCCAGCCATGAGTTTTTAATTACAGTGTAGACATACCCATGAGGGCTTGTCTGCACTGGAGAGATCAGTCAGTGGTAAAGAAATTGATTGTCCCACCACCATGTTAGTATAAATTGGTGGAAGGTTTGCCCTTGTGTCCACACTCAGGCTACCTTAAACTGGTCCCAGTGAGGCGGTTTGACAGATGACAGCTCCCTCAGTTGGGCAAGTTCCGTAGTGTGCTGGCTGATGGTCTCCTTTTACACACCCCCAGCCATGTCCCCATCATCCAAAACCCCCATAGTAGGAGGGGGTCACACATAGCTTGCATAGGCCAAGCTCATTTCACCCACCATCCCTCCATTCCCCCCACAAGCTCCCAGTGAGCCACCTTCACATCCACCTCTATTTCAGGAACTCCCTGCAACTCCCCTTAATCTCCCCCCTGCTAGGGGCTCTGGGTGCCCACATGTTAGCATCCTCCAGTCTCCCCCCAATCCACCAGGGGTTCTGGGTGCCCCCATGACCCTTTTCCCTCCCCCTAAAGAAGGGTCCCCCATTCTCTCTACCACGCCAGGGGTTCTGTTACCCCTACTTCCCCCTCCCTCACACCAAGGTCCCATGCCGGGGACTCTGTGTGTCTTCCCTCTCCTCTCCCTCCACAAAGCACCTGTCTTCCTTCCCCCACCCATCAGAAGGGAGGGTTGGACAGCCGGTGCCCTCTCTCCCTCAGCTGGAGCAGGCTTTGAGGAGGCAGGACTTTAGGAAGAAGGAAGGGATGAAGAAAGCCTCCTTCTCTCTCCTCTTCCCTCTAGCTGCCCCTGCTGGCTGCCTGTCCACCCCACAGGGAGAGCAATTATTTCTCTTCTGTATTCGGGGTGTCGAGATGTTAAACGCTGATGGGAGGGTGAGCAGGGGTATTGTGATGCTGCAAGATGGTAGTGGGTGCTATCCACAGGTGGCAGACACTCCAAGTGTTCCCCATTGTCCCTCTATAGATGTTCTGATCACCCCCAGAATCAACAGAGGTCTGGCATTGAGGCCCGGAACATTCCTGAAATGCTGGCCTGGATCAGAGGTGGTATTCAAAAGTTATCTTGTCACAGATAAACCAAGAAACGATGTTGAGTGTAAGGCCTTGCACTCTCAGCCAACTACCCACCCCCAGAAATGTCCTCCACGCACTTTACCCCATTCTTCTCCCACCCCCAAAATGCACCCTCCCTGCTCTGCAGATCCTCAGCCAGCAACCCAGAGACTGCAATCTCTGTCCCAACATAGTGTCCCACGGTGTCCCCGCCCCTCCAACGCACTTCCCTCTCCCCGCTATGATGTCCCAGAGGTTTGCAGCCAGCAGAAGGAGCAGAGCTAGTAGCTAGAGCCAGGGTTTCTCTACACTAGAGAAGGCAACATTGCAGTCTATTGTTCCACAGCTCACGGAGCTCCAGCTGTGCCAGGGTGATGCGTGCGTCCAATTCAGGCTAGCCCAGGTCTTACCCCCACAACATCTGGGGTAAATTACCTCAAGTGCTGCCTCGTTAGCAATTGTCTGACTCTCTTTTGAGCATGGATGCGAGTTGTTCTTCCGCAGGTTGGGAGGGGAACTGTCGGTGTAACCTGGCTAATGCAGACATGGTCTCTGGGAGGCGGGATGGGGAGGAAAGGCAGAACTCCTCCTTGTCACACCTCTCCCACTTGTCACTGGGAGCACAGGAATAGTTTGGCAGCTGGGGTGAAGGTTGAGGGGCTTGTCCCAAGGGTGGGGAAGGGGTCTGACAGCTGAACGGTTGTTAGAGCTGCTGACAACAGAGGGAGTGCCCATGGCCCTTTAACCTCCTCCTTCACTGCAGCACCCCACCTCCATCTTGCATGTGCTCCTGCAGGAGGATGTCATGGAGGGTAGCTCAGCCCTGAGCTATACAGCCCACCCTGGCTTGTGCATTATTAATCAGGTTTTTTCCCCTTGTAGAAAACCTGGACTGTGTCATTTCCTGTGAAAGCCAGGCCTGTAAGGGACCGAAACTGCCAGAAGAAGATGATCTCGTACTGGCCACATGCCAACACGTGAATGGCACCCTGAAGCATGCTGGGCCAGCAGGAAGAGGAGATTTCTCAAAGAGGAAGCCAGTCTTCCAAGGTGGGGCAGGAAGTGATGTCATTCAGCTCTCTGTTCTCTCCGCCGGCAACGAAGAACGTGACCATGGCTTTCCACTACCAGCAACAGAGCTGGGGGCCACTGTCCTGGTGACCACAAAGACCATTCAGAATAACTGCACCACTGAGGAGAGACCATGACAGCAGGCAAAATAGGGCTGGCACTAGCTGGTTGCCCACTGAAGGTGACAAAATCGCTTCATTTGGATGGATAAGCTGTTGCACGGAAATGACTTGAATCAGAACGAGACTTTTGCCTTAAGCGAGGTCAGCCTCCTATGCCTTTTGCCTTTTATATTTCCCCTTTCACATGGTGGTTGAAGCCAGGAAGTCCCAGTTACACCCCTAACCAAAGGAGGATACCTGAGTCAATTGTATTGTCCCTGGTCCGTGAGCTCTGTAGCTGGAGAAGGTTGAAGAGAGATGGCACGTGAGAAAAAGTGATTGTTCAGAGCCAACATACCAACTGCATGATTGCTGCACCTGCTAGCAACCATATTTTAAGGGGGTGGGGTGTGTTGTGTGGGTGTGAAGAGGGAGTCCTAGGGAGAGTGGGAAGGGTAAAAAGGAAGAGCAGAGTGAAAGTTTAAATGGAAGGTGGGTGTTTCTCTAGGCCCTGATCCTGCACAACTGAAATCAATGGGAGTTTTGCCATTGGCTTCAATGAGAGCGGGGTTGGGTCCTTAGTGCTGGTACAATGCTATGTTCTGTGGGGCCCTGAGCAAAGTAACATAGGCCGGGCCCTATCCAGCTTCCATTCAACTTACAGTCAAGTCCTCCAAGCGTCAGAGGGCCCATAACATAAACACACAGACACCTCCTTCCTGTGACCCCTTCACACTGTGGCAACCCCCCGCCAAGGCTCTGCGAATCCCCTTGCAGGGTCTGGGAAGAGAGGAGGTGGAGCTGAAATGCATCTTCCCAAGCAGAGAATGAGGGACGGAAATCTCTGCAGTGACCAACTGGCCCTGGAATCAGCCAGGACCATGGACAGAGAACTGGGGCTATCACTGTGGCAGGCACTTGGGATGTGTGTGCACGTCCCATTGGCCACCACTGCTTTAGTTCATGTTTCTTCAGGAAATACTACATGTATCATGCCAACAGGAATTATAATAATAGATAATTTTAGCGTGATGGGAGGGTGAGAGGGAATATTTAGCTTATAACTGATGTTTCTGTAAGGATTTGTCTACATGGGGAAATTGACCAGCATAGCTATTCCGAATAACTCCTTATGTGAACACTCTGTTCTGAAATAAAAGTGACCTTAATCCAGAATAGTTGCTAGAGAGAATTGAAGAAGCTGCTACAGGGAACAAAAGCCTGAATTCCTTGCTGCAACTGGTGTCTCCAACTTTCTCACAGCAGTCCTGACAGGAAGAGAGCAAAGCGTTTTAACTAAAATACATTTGGCTGGTGGTGTAAAGGTTAGTGCTTAACATGGCTATGCAGGTGGCCTGGATTCAAGTCCCAGTCTCCCATTCCCTCATGGCTGGGAGTGCTGCAGAAACGGGGCTAAGTGCTCAGCAGCTTCTTCATGGGAAGCCCACATTCGATTGCCTGTCTGTGGTGGTGTGTAGGGTAGGTGTAGCTACAGGCCGCAGTGCAAGGCAAGCTGCAGCCACAATTGTCACTGTGGTGTGTAGCTACAAGCCACAGTGAAACTCTCTGGCAGTGGAGAGCTGCCGGAGCCTTTCCCCACTGCCAGAGCTTTTCACTATGGCAGTGGAAGCCTCTGGCAGTGGGGAGGCAACGGGACACTACACTGCTAAAAATAGCAGCACAGGCCCTGCTTGGGCGTGTGGGGAGCTGTGTAGGGTACAGTCCCTAGTGTTCAGATGTGTGGGGCACTGCACTCTACTCATCTAAGCCGTGCCTCACTGTCAACACCGCTGTTTAAACCCATACTAGCAGGGCATACAGTGTCTCTACATGCCACCCTAAGTGTAGACGCACCTTCAGCATCTCATTGGCTCAGTCTGGAAAGGCTGTAGAAGCATTGGCACCCTGGCAATCACTGTGTCACTTAACCGTGGTTACTGTAGCCCATGCAGGCCAGCAGTGACTGCCTCTGAAGGGAAGACCCCCTCATCATGAAACAGGGGTGCTTACTCTTTGTGTCCCAAGACCTCCAGTTGCTGCCATTCACAACAGCTCCTCCTCAGATGCTATCCCAAAATCCTTCGCACCACTTTCTATAGTGGTTTCAAGGGAAGCACTGTTGAAATTAACAAAATGGTTTATGGGGCATTCCTGGCATTTGGAGGAGAGCCTGGTCCTGAGTGACAGAGCAAATCTGCTTCACTGGAAAACTGGAGAGAGAAAGGAGGCAGGATTGCAAACATATCTTCTCCCTCCCATTTCCTCTCTGCCTGTGACTGCCTGAGACTTGCTACTGTAGACACGGGACCATCTCTAAAAGGAAAGAAGTTTAAAAAAAAAATCCGAAGAGGTGGAGATGGAAAAGGCCTACTCATAGATTCCAAGAGCAGAAGGCACCTTTGTGATCATCTAGTCTGACCTCCTGCATAACGCAGGCCAGAGAACCTCCCCCAAATAATTCCCAGAGCAGACCTTTTAGAAAAACAGCCACTCTTGATTCAAAACCTGTCAGTGATGGAGAATCCACCACAACCCTTGGTAAATTGTCCCAATGGTTAATTACTGTCACTGTTAAAAAATTATGTCTATTTCCAGCGTGAATTTGTCTAGCTTCAACATCCAGCCATTGGATTGTGCTATACCTTTCTCTGCCAGACGGAAGAGCCCATTATTAAATATTTGTTCCTCATGTGGGTAATTATAGACTGTAATTAAGTCATCCCTTAACTGTCTCTTTGGTAAGCTAAATAGATTGAGCTCCTTGAGTCTATCACTATATAAGGAATGTTTTCTAATCCTCTAATCATTCTCATGGCTCTTCTCTGAACCCTCTCCAATTTATCAACATCCTTCTTGACTTGTGGAAACCAGAACTGGACACAGTATTCCAGCAGCAGTCACACCCAGTGCCAAATACAGAGGTAAAATAACCTCTCTACACCTACTTGAGATTCCCCTGTTTATGCATTCCAGGATCACATTAGCTCTTTTGGCCACAGCATCACACTGGGAGCTCATGTTCAGCTGTCATCCACTATGACCCCCAAATCTTTTTCAGAGTCATTGCTTCGCATAACGAAGTCCTCCATCATATAAGGATGGTCTACATTCTTTGATCCTACATGTATACATTGACATTTCGCTGTATTAAAATGCGTATTGTTTGCTTGGACCCAGTTTGCCAAGTGATCCTGATCACCCTGAATCATTAACATGTCCTCTATACAAGTGGATGAGCCCATCTTGCGCCAAAGCAAGATTGTTCCCCGCAGTACATTTCTCAGTGGCTTGTCTAGTCTAGCTTGAAAAGCCGCAAGTGATAGGGCATCCACCATCTTATCTAAAACCACAGTGAAACATCCCTCTTGTGAGATGCCACTAAGCTATGAATATCAGAGGTTCATGCGGGCACCATTTCAATCTATATTGGATTCTTCTGAGGCAAGTAGTAACCTACCTGTTTTGAATAGGTTCTCCCCCGCCTCCCCCCACCCCGCTACTCTGACCCAGTGATGGGTGAGAACACATCAGTATTAATTCCCCCCTCCTGGCTGGGGTTAGAGGAATTTATCTCATTGCTGAAATACTCTTGTAGATGCTTCTTGTTCCTTATTTTCAGTGCATGGGACTGACTGGTTCTGCCCATTGCCCATGCACGGGGAGAACGGTGAGAGGGCACAAAGAAAATAAGTTGTAACGTTAACGAATAAAGTGAAATTGCTGTCAATCCAAGGGGCTGCTCTTCTGTCTTTCTGGGGTGTCCATGGGAAGTTATTGAGTCCTCACACCCACATTTTTACTATAGTGCCCAACTGACAGCCCTAGTGTGCAAGTTCTCTCGCCACAGAGCAAGTAGAGCCAGGCCAACAGCAGTGGAAGCTTCCTCTACACATTGTCCTCAGTAGAAGCTTTCTGTATATACTGCTCCCTCATGAGAAGACACCACCTCTAAGAGTGGGAGGAGTGCAGTCTCCCTGGCACATTTAGTCCTTGAGATCTCTGCTGAGGCTGCCACCATATATAAGGCCAAATGCATGCCAGTTAGGATGTGGATACCTGCCTATAAGAAGCTAGACCAAGCCTACATAGTGTCAGGGCCCAGGGAGATGGGCGCTCTGACCTAGTCATTAGAGCCAGAGCTGGAGCCTAGCCTAGCGTCAGAGCTGGAAGCAGGAGTTAGAAGTCAGGCAAGGCAGCAGGGCTGGAGCAAATGAGTGGGACTGGAGCAAGGCTGGGAACAAGGTGGGTAGGCACAGGAGAGATCACAGCTGCAGGTGTAAGCATTCAGCAGCCAGCAACCTGCCACTGCTGCGGAGCTCAAACACAGACCTGTTGGGGCCTTGCAGCCAATTGAGTGAGCCGGCCAATCAGGTGATTCTGCCACAGCCAGGCTCATTACCTGGCCTGAGGGCTGAGCCAGCTAGCCCAGGCTCAGCTGAGGGAACTCAAGCCCTAGTTCCTGACCCACAGACTGTTGGATGGGGATGACTGTCAGCCACTAGCAGCCTCCTCTTTATTGCCTCCCAGGCTGCTTTTGGTTCCTACTGCAGTGTGAGAGGTTAAAGAGACTCCTCCGGAAACTGATCTTTTAGTCCCTCAACACCAAGACCTTCTGATTTCACCTCTTCATAGATGTATTTGTTCACCAGGGAAGACATGCAACTGTGTTGGACTGCAGGGGAGCCAAAGAGGAAAAGACTTTGCAAAGAAGACAAGACACGCCCCTTCCCAATACCCAGTTCCAAGAGGTTCACATGAGCACGGTGTAACCTAGAACTCTGCATTGACTAGTGGCCAAAATCTGGTAGAGAACACAACTCACACTGGTGCCGAGGCCAGAAATCTGGTGCTGTATCCAAGAAGCTAGTGAAATCTGTTTAGGACTTGGATAGGCAGCTGCTGGGTAAGTAGCACTCCAGCCGCCCATCTCTGGCAATCTCGGTTAGGTCACTAGAAAAGCGAGTCTGATGGATTTAGCATTGTCAAAGCTTCGTGAATGCTTGTCACAAAACTACCAGCATGAGCAAGGCCCAGGACTAGAACCATAGGACATGCTTCAGGCCAGCACTGAGATGCACTGACTAGAGCTATTTGGGAGCACTGGACAACAATAGCAGGGGTGGGGCCGGGCAAGCGTGAGGGGCATTGGCAGAACTGAGTGGGGGTCCCAGGACAGGAGTATGGGGGGTGCTTCAGGGAAGTACTTGGGGGGAAGGGGAGGGAAAGCTTGCCCGTGGCTTGTCTATACTCTGGCACATTATACGAGCTGGGTTATTATTTTCTGTGTCCTGGCTAAATTCCAGCTGGGGTAATTATATCTCATCTACTTAAAATTCCCCCAGCAGTTTCAATAAAATGTAGCATTCTTTGCTTCCTATCCTCAACTGCTGCATAGCACTGCTAATGTGTTGTTAGACAAAAAGAAAAGGAGTACTTGTGGCACCTTAGAAACTAACCAATTTATCTGAGCATAAGCTTTCGTGAGCTACAGCTCACTTCATCGGATGCATACTGTGGAAAGTACAGAAGACGTTTTTATACACACAAACCATGAAAAAAATGGGTGATTATCACTACAAAAGGTTTTCTCTCCCCCCACCCCACTCTCCTGCTGGTAATAGCTTATCTAAAGTGATCACTCTCCTTACAATGTGTATGATAATCAAGGTGGGCCATTTCCAGCACAAATCCAGGGTTTAACAAGAATGTCTGAGGAAGGGGGGGGGGGTAGGAAAAAACAAGGGGAAATAGGTTACCTTGCATAATGACTTAGCCACTCCCAGTCTCTATTCAAGCCTAAGTTAATTGTATCCAATTTGCAAATGAATTCCAATTCAGCAGTCTCTCGCTGGAGTCTGGATTTGAAGTATTTTTGTTGTAATATCGCAACTTTCATGTCTGTAATCGCGTGACCAGAGAGATTGAAGTGTTCTCCGACTGGTTTATGAATGTTATAATTCTTGACGTCTGATTTGTGTCCATTTATTCTTTTACGTAGAGACTGTCCAGTTTGACCAATGTACATGGCAGAGGGGCATTGCTGGCACATGATGGCATATATCACATTGGTGGATGTGCAGGTGAACAAGCCTCTGATAGTGTGGTGATGTTATTAGGCCCTGTGATGGTGTCCCCTGAATAGATATGTGGGCACAGTTGGCAATGGGCTTTGTTGCGAGGATAGGTTCCTGGGTTAGTGGTTCTGTTGTGTGGTATGTGGTTGCTGGTGAGTATTTGCTTCAGGTTGGGGGGCTGTCTGTAGGCAAGGACTGGCCTGTCTCCCAAGATTTGTGAGAGTGTTGGGTCATCCTTCAGGATAGGTTGTAGATCCTTGATAATGCGTTGGAGGGGTTTTAGTTGGGGGCTGAAGGTGACGGCTAGTGACGTTCTGTTATTTTCTTTGTTAGGCCTGTCCTGTAGTAGGTGACTTCTGGGAACTCTTCTGGCTCTATCAATCTGTTTCTTCACTTCCACAGGTGGGTATTGTAGTTGTAAGAATGCTTGATAGAGATCTTGTAGGTGTTTGTCTCTGTCTGAGGGGTTGGAGCAAATGCGGTTGTATCGCAGAGCTTGGCTGTAGACAATGGATCGTGTGGTGTGGTCAGGGTGAAAGCTGGAGGCATGTAGGTAGGAATAGCGGTCAGTAGGTTTCTGGTATAGGGTGGTGTTTATGTGACCATCGTTTATTAGCACTGTAGTGTCCAGGAAGTGGATCTCTTGTGTGGACTGGACCAGGCTGAGGTTGATGGTGGGATGGAAATTGTTGAAATCATGGTGGAATTCCTCAAGGGCTTCTTTTCCAGGGTCCAAATGATGAAGATGTCATCAATATAGCGCAAGTAGAGTAGAGGCGTTAGGGGACGAGAGCTGAGGAAGCGTTGTTCTAAGTCAGCCATAAAAATGTTGGCATACTGTGGGGCCATGCAGGTACCCATAGCAGTGCCGCTGATTTGAAGGTATACATTGTCCCCAAATGTAAAATAGTTATGGGTGAGGATAAAGTCACAAAGTTCAGCCACCAGGTTAGCCATGACATTATCGGGGATAGTGTTCTTAATGGCTTGTAGTCCATCTTTGTGTGGAATGTTGGTGTAGAGGGCTTCTACATCCATAGTGGCCAGGATGGTGTTATCGGGAAGATCACTGATGGATTGTAGTTTCCTCAGGAAGCCAGTGGTGTCTCGAAGGTAGCTGGGAGTGCTGGGAGCGTAGGGCCTGAGGTGGGAGTCTACATAGCCAGACAATCCTGCTGTCAGGGTGCCAATGCCCGAGATGATGGGGTGCCCAGGATATCCAGGTTTATGGATCTTGGGTAGTAGATAGAATATCCCAGGTCGGGGTTCCAGGAGTGTGTCTGTGCGGATTTGATCTTGTGCTTTTTCAGAGAGTTTCTTGAGCAAATGCTAGACAAATGTTAGACAGTTGCAGTGTTCCACCCCGAGGTGGCTGCATTTCATTGGTACCGTGGGTGAGTGATTTCTATACGTCCAGACTGCAAAGAGCTTTAAGTGCCTTCACTTAAATTAGCTATAGAAATTTAAGTTACAGGCATGAGGAAGGATGGCCTTGTGGCAAAGGCGCTGCACTAGGCCTCAGGACAGTGGGGTTGTCTCTGCTGCAGACCCCTTGGGTGAGTCACTTTCTCCCTCTGCCTCAGTTCCCCATCCTGCAATAGAGATGACAATACAACCATTTGCCCACCCTATGTTTGTCATGTCTATTGCAGTAAGCGCTCAGGGGTGGGGACTATCTCTTACTACGGGTGTGTACAGTGCCGAGGGCGCTGGGGGTCCCAGTCTGTACTGTAATACTGTACCACTTCACCCAGTCCTGGACCCTCACTCTCTCAGGTGCTAAAAATTCACTCACAATCCTTAAAAATGTAGCATCGCTCCCACCTCCTGAACCAACGTCCCTTCCAGTCACCCGACGCTGCCTGTTCCTCACTCCCACAAGCCAGGCCATAATCATAATGCTGAGTTACAATCTCCCATGATGTGGATGGGGATGGGGTGCCATGGAAAGGGGCTGAGCCCCAGGGCACTCACATTTCATGTGCAGCATTTGACTAGCAGTTCAGAAAGGTCACCACAGCCTCATTCTCCTCTGTGAGGGAGCAGGGTGGAGCTGGGGGTGTTGACAGTTGCTTCTTCTCACCACCCTCTCTTATTTTCCACAGCAGTTTTTCACTTCCCCATCTTGGGTAGGCTGTGTGCTTCTTCCCCCTGCCAAGAGGACATTCCCTGCTGGGTGTATAAGGGGGCTTCCCCTGTTTTGCATGGGAGGGTCTGTCAGAGCTGAGGGGGAAGACTCTGGAAACCCCAGTGGCAGATCCTAAGGAGCTGGGTCTGAAACAACCCTTCACTATAAAAGCATGTCAAGACTATTAATAGCACAGCTGAGAAATCACCTCCCTTTCCAAGGAAAGGAACGAAACAAGTTCCAACGGGGTCATCTCACCGGGCACATGTGAGTGGGAAGAGCTCCAGGAGGTCATGTTGCTGGGGATGCTCCAGGGTCTTTGCATTGGAATGGGGCAGAATGTGCAAGGGGGTGGTTCTGAGCACCAATTACTCCTGTTCCGGGCTTATCCTATACCCTTTGGTCACAGAATTCGACTTGGCCTTCCCTTGTAGCAAGAATCAGCAAAGATACAGCATTTCTGAAAATGTTAATGAATGACACTGTATTTTAGGGACCCAAGTCAGCGGCTCTCAACCTTTCCAGACTA